AAAAAAAAAAAAAAAGAAAAAAAAAAGAAAAGGAGTCTGAGGATCTTGGCATGGATCTGATTCTTTTTTTGAGATGGAGTTTTTGCCTTGTTGCCAGGCTGGAGTGCAATGGTGCAATCTTGTCTCACTGCAACCTCTGCTGCCCAGGTTCAAGTGATTCTTCTGCCTCAGCCTCCCAAGTGGTTGGGATTAAAAGCATATGCCACCACGCCCAGCTAATTTTTTTGTATTTTTAGTAGAGACGGGGTTTCACCATAGTGGCCAGGCTGGTATGGAACTCCTGACCTCAGGTGATCCCCCTGTCCTGGCCTTCCAAAGTGCTGGGATTACAGGCGTGAGTCACCGTGGCCGGCCTTGGATCTGATTCTTGTCCATGAGACTTGGCTGAGTCACTTACTTCTGAGCCCATTTCCTCATTTGCAAAGTGGGAAAGAAAATACTACCCAGCCTGTCCGCCTCAAAGAGTTGCCATAATGACAGGTTTAGTTGAGGGTTGAGATGGCTGTGGAAACTGTAGAGTCCTGTCTACGTAGGTGTCAATGATGAGTGACCTTAGGAAACACAAGTACCTCTCCATGAAGCAACTTGCTAGTTAGATAGAGGGCCCCATCCCTGGGAGCTTATCCAGCGCACCTCTGGGGACAGACATGGAATGGCCATCAGTATAATTGATTGATGATGGATTAGAACCACTGAAACCTTGAGGCTCAATGATTATGTATTGTTGTCAGCTGGGACTCTTGGATCCCCTTCAGGGCGTGGGTGTCATTGTTACCAAAAACCTCCTTGTAAGAAGTCTTGTCTCTACTGAGTGGTGTTTTTTTGTTTGTTTTTTATTTTGTTTTGTTTTTGAGAGACAGAGTCTGACTGTCACCCAGGTTGGATTGCAGTGGTGCTGTCTCACCTCACTGCAACCTCCGCCTCCTGGGCTCCAGCAATTCTCATCCCTCAGTCTCCTAAGTATAATAGCTGGGATTATATGCACATTCCACCACATCCGGCTATTTTTAGTAGAGATGGGGTTTCACCATGTTGGCCAGGCTAGTCTCAAACTCCTGACTTCAGGTGATCTGTCTACCTCGGCCTCCTAAAGTGCAGGGATTGCAGGTATGAGCCACTGTGCCCAGCCTACTTTTTTTTTTTTTTTTTTTTGAGACAGAGTTTCGCTCTTGTTACCCAGGCTGGAGTGCAATGGCGCGATCTCGGCTCACCGCAACCTCCGCCTCCTGGGCTCAGGCAATTCTCCTGCCTCAACCTCCTGAGTAGCTAGGATTACAGGCACGTGCCACCATGCCCAGCTAATTTTTTGTATTTTTAGTAGAGACGGGGTTTCACCATATTGACCAGGATGGTCTCGATCTCTTGACCTGGTGATCCACCCGCCTCAGCCTCCCAAAGTGCTGGGATTACAGACTTGAGCCACCGCGCCCAGCCTCCCAGCCTACTTTTTAAAAAACATATTTAAAAATTTTTTTTACATACCATGATTCTGCAGACTTCTTTTTCTTTTTTGAGTCAAGCTCTTGCTCTGTCACCCAGGCTGGAGCACAGTGGCATGATCTCAGCTTACTGTAGCCTTGACCTCCTGGGCTCAATCAGTCCTTCTACCACAGCCTCCTGAGTAGCTGGGACTGCAGGCATGCTAGTGCAATTTTTGTTTTTTTTGTAGAGTTGGGGTTTTCCTGTGTTGCCCAGGTTTGTCCCAAACTCCTGGGCTTAAGGGAACCACCTGCTTCAGTCTTCCAAAGTTCTGGGTCTATAGGTGTGACCCACTGCACCCAGCCAGTAATCCTTTCTGTACCACACTATATATAGGGAGTCCTCTGTTTTTTATAGTCTTTTATTGTTACTAACAGTGCTGCAATGAATTACCTTGTACATAGGACATTTTGTACACATGCAAATGGAATTTTTCATTTTTTTTGGTTAGGAAGCAAACTGAGAGCAAATGGAATTTATTAGCATTGCTTTCACAAGCATATCTGTTTTATCAGGGTGGCCGTTTACACTGCTCTCTAGTGACCTTGGGCATTTGTGGCACAAAAAGCCTCTGAGTTTATTTATTTATTTATTTTTTGAGACAGAATTTTGCTGTGTTTGCCCAGGCTGGAGTGCAATGGCACAATCCCGGCTCACGACAACCTCCTCCTGGGTTCAAGCAATTCTCCTGTCTTAGCCTCCCGAGTAGCTGGGATTACAGGCATTCGCCACCACGCCTGGCTAATTTTGTATTTTTAGTAGAGATGGTGTTTCACCATGTTGGTCAGGCTGGCCTCAAACTCCTGACCTCAGGTGATCTGCCTGCCTTGGCCTCCCACAGCACTGGGATGACAGGTGTCAGCCACTGTGCCTGGCTGCCTCTGAGATTTTTTTAGTTGAGCACCTATTATGTGTGTCAATCTGGGTTGGACGATGTGAGCTCTATGTAATTTGAATCCCCATATTGAGCTATGCTTCTGTATCCACGATGCTTAGCGTTGCCGTGTAGTCAGTAGTTAGTAAGTATTTGTGGAATTAACAAAGGACAAGTCAAGGCAGATAGGAAGTAAATGAAATAGGGCACATATTCTTTTCCTGCGTGGCACTTAAACCTCACTGAAATTGTCTATTCATTTGTGTATTTATTTGTTGAACTTCTTTTATTCCCACTGAATTCTAAGGTACATGAAAGCAGGGACCATGTCTTACTCCTCTTGTACCTTCATTGTCTCATAATAAGTGACCAGCAAATATTTATTAAATGAACACTTGAGTGTCATTTAATAAATAGGACAGAACTAAATGCAGGATGGAGGGAAGAGGATCTGGCTAGAGTTGAGTGGGAGAAGCTGAGTGGAGATGAAACCAGGATTTGGAGGGGCTGATGGAGGTCTTTGCAGGCTCTGAAGGCCATGGGACCCTCAGTCTCATGTCCCATCTTGACCTGAGTCTTTCCTGGTTCTGGCAGGTGGAGGTGCAGTGCCTACTCTTGCTGGAGGTGCTGGGTGGCTCCCACAAGCACGCCGTGGATGGTGCTGTGAAGAAACTCACAAAGCTGTGGAAAGAGGTGACAGGACTGCAGGGGCTGGTGGGCATTGCTTCTTCCATGCCACTCCCCCACTGCCATCTTATACATCTGCCTGGCACTTTCCTCTTCAGAACCCCGGGCTGGTGGAGCAATACTTGTCAGCCATTCTCAGCCTAGAGCCCAACCAGAGCTATGCCGGCATGCTGGGGCTGCTGGTGCAGTTCTGCACGAGTCACAAGGAGACGGACGTGGTCAGTCGGCATAAGGCAAGTGCCAGGGCGGAGTGACTGTGGGTTTGCTACATTGGGAATGTTGGGAGCTCGCTGGAGGGAAGGAACGGGAACCTGCTTTGCCCTGGCGACCCAAGCTGTTGACCTCATCTGAAACTTGTTGGTTTTCTCATGTGAAACTCTGGCCTTTTGCCATGATATATGAACTTCTAGGAGTTGGAAAGTAAGTTTTCCTTCTGTTTCTGGCTTGGGTGTTAGTTTGCTTGTTCATACAGTCATTGATTCATCCCAGTTGAGCAACTGCCATGTTCTAGGCACTGTGCCCGGTTTTGGGGGTACACCAGTGATCAAGGGAGCTATGACCCCTGCCCCCATGGAACTGAGTCTGGGATGCTGACGTTAAACAGATAGTCTAGTTAATTGTAAATGGTAAGTGCTACAAAGGGAAAGTGTGAGAAGCTATGAGACTCCACAACGGAAGGACCTGATTTAGGCTGTGGGTCAGAGAACACACCTCTCTAAAGAAGGAACTTTGAAAGTAAAGAGGAATTAGCAAGGTCAAGAGGCAAGGCAGAGCATTTGGGGAAGAGCAAGCAGCCTGTGGGCAGGAACAGAGAGGAGGCGAGTGGGGTTGGAGTGACAGGCCTGGGTTAGAGAGTGAGACGCAGCTGTCTGAGTGGCGGGCAGGCCCTTATAAGCCATATCAAGGACTTTGGACTTTATCCTGGGGGACCATGGAAAGCTGTGGAACGGCTTTAAGTGGGGTTGTATGATCAGTGGGACCTCTATGCTTAACACTGAAATTTGGGGCATTGATTTGTATTTTTTGGAGGCACTCTCACAAGAGGGACTCCTTAGGCCAGTGATGAGATACTTGAGAATGCCAGGGTCTAACCAGAGCTCTTTGTGTTCTCTAGGGTGCCCTACTGGACTTTTACATGAAGAACATCCTTATGAGCAAAGTCAAGCCTCCGAAGTACCTGTTGGTGAGTGGGAGGTGGACGTTACTCACTTGGACACATGATCTCATTTTAAATTCTGGGGTGCTGAACTCTTTTTCCTTCTTGGTCTGTTCCCATGAGGGCTAGGTGCCTGATTCCTTTTTCTTTGTAGGATAGCTGTGCCCCTCTGCTCCGGTACCTGTCCCACGCAGAATTTAAGGATCTGATATTGCCCACCATACAGAAGTCCTTACTGAGGAGTCCAGAGAATGTTATTGAAAGTAGGTTGCTGTCAACCGGGATGGTGGGAAGGAGATGAGTTGCCTATAATCTCTGTTCCCAATATTTGGCAGCAGGAAGTGTGTGTGGTAGCAGGGAGGGAAGGGGGATGTATTCACTGTTTACCTTGTTGGGACCTTGGGAGAGAGATTGGGAACCTTTTTAAGATTATTGAAAGTCAGCTAGATGCGGTGGCTCACACCTGTAATCCCAGCACTTTGGGAGGCGGAGGTGGGCAGATCACTTGAGCCCAGGAGCTCAACTTGGGAGGCTGACTTGGGAGGATCACTTGAGCCCAGGAAACGGAAGTTGCAGTGAGCCAAGATGGCGATATTGTACTCCATCAAGCCTGGTTGACAGAGTGAGACCCCATCACAAAAAACAAAAAAGAGGCCCGGTGGCTCACGCCTGTAATCCCAGCAGATTGGGAGGCTGAGGCAGGTGGATCACCTGAGGCCAGGAGTTCGAGACCAGCCTGACCAACATGGTGAAACACTGTCTCTAATAAAAATACAAAAAAAATTAGGTGAGATGGCACATGCCTGTAGTCCTAGCTACTCAGGAGACTGAGGCAGGAGAAACACTTGAACCTGGGAGGCAGAGGTTGCAGAGATCATGCCATTGCACTCCAGCCTAGGTGACAGAGTGAGACCCTGTTTAAAAAAAAAAAGAGAAGAAAAGAAAAAGAAAGTCATCGGCTCTCTTGTTAGAATAATGCACAAAAGTATATCCACTAAGAATACTGCATATAATTTTAGGGGTTCAAGAACCCTCTGGATCAGTTTATAGCTTTATCCATTGTTTTGATTCCCAGAAAATAATCAGGTGTTCACCTTCAGAGTTGAGTGAAAGAAAACGAGATATTCTGTTACCTTTCCACCCCTCCAAAAGAACTTTCTGGAGACCAGGTTAAGAACCTCATCTCTAGACGTTCTGGACTTACTGTGGAAGTGGCACTTGAAATCATGGGATCTGAGGGTTGAGTCTGTCCCTGTGTATCATAGTGAAATGTGTTGGTGGGATGTTGGAAAGGCAATTTTTCCTGATTGGGATGGGGTGGTATACAGCTTTTTCGGCAGAGCTTTGGAGCTACTCTTGCAGCCCTGTAGAGATGAAGGGTGGTTCCATGTGGGTAGACAGCAGGCCTGGTGGCATTTGCTGAGGAGCAGGGGAAAAAATTATCTGTTGAATTTATCGCTGAGACTGACATGGTCAGTGTTTTCTGTCCTCCTTAGCTATTTCTAGTCTGCTGGCATCAGTGACTCTTGACCTCAGCCAGTATGCCCTGGACATTGTGAAAGGACTGGCTAGTGAGTATCCCATCCTCTGTCCAGCCCTTAAGTGGCACCTTGGGTTTTGGTTGTACTTGTCCTAATTGTTGTAGCAGGGTTAGGGGACAGCTCAAGGTAGTAATAAGGCCCTAACCTAAACTACATTGGCATTGGCAGTTTCTTTCTTGAGATTATTTTAATGAGAACATATAGCTAGTACTAAAGAGATGGGGGCATGGAAAAGACAAAGACGAAAGTCTGGATGCCAATTGTTGGCTGCTTCTGAGCAGTGGCTCTGTGTGTCCAGGTCACCTGAAATCCAACAGTCCCCACCTGATGGACGAAGCCGTGCTGGCGCTGCGGAACCTGGCACGCCAGTGCAGTGACTCTTCGGCCATGGAAGCCCTGACCAAGCACTTATTTGCTATCCTCGGAGGTGAGCAGTCCTTCTTCGCCATGGGGTGGCTGAGGTGTGGCCCCTGGCATTTCCTTCAACCCTGGGATCTCAGGGGAACTTGATGCTCCAAGTCTGCGTGTGACAAGGCTGTGTGACCAGCCTGTGCCACACTGGATGTGAATGTGTGTGAATGACCAAAACTCTCATAGGTTGGTGTGGATGGGGTGATCTCAGGTTTTTCGTTTTTAAGATACACATTTTTGTATGCATAGCAGAAAAAACTAAAGGAAATATACCAGAAAATAATGTATTTGAGTAGTGGAAACATGAGTGCGCCTTTTAAATGTTTTCCTTTATATTTTTTCTCTTTCTCAAGTTTTCTGTAGGAACATTATTTTTTGAGTCAGAAAGCAAAAGGCTAGTAAATGTTGTTTTAAACCCAGCTTCACAACACAAAGGCTACTTCTGGAATCAGAAACTGTGGCATCACACACATGACTGCATTGTTCACCTTCTTGGGAAATGTGGCATATGTGAATGTGAATCTTTGCTGTCTCTCCTCACAGGCTCAGAAGGAAAACTAACTGTTGTAGCCCAGAAGATGAGCGTCCTCTCAGGTATAGGATTTCTTCCTTTTTTTGAGACAGAGTCTTGCTCTGTCATCTAGGATAGAGTGCAGTGGCTCCATCTCAGCTCACTGCAACCTTTGCCTCCCAGGTTCAAGGGATTCTCATGCCTCAGCCTCCTGAGTAGCTGGGATTACTGGTGCGCACTGCCATGCCTGGCTAATTTTTTTGTATTTTTAGTAAAGACAGGGTTTCACCATATTGGCCAGGCTGGTCTCAAACTCCGGCTTCAAGTGATCTGCCCGCCTTAGCCTCCCAAAGTGCTGGGATTACAGGCAGGTACAGGATTTTTCTGCCAGGAGTAGAGCTGTGATCTAGTAGTAGATAAGGCTTTTTTTTTTTTTTTCTTTTTTTGAGATGGAGTCTCACTCTGTTGCCAGACTGGAGTACAGTGGTGCCATCTTGGCTCACTGCAACGTCTGTCTCCCTGGTTCAAGTGCTTCTCCTGCCTCAGCCTCCCGAGTAGCTGGGACTATAGGTGCATGCCACCATGCCCAGCTAATTTTTTTGTATTTTTAGTAGAGACGGGGTTTCACTATTTGGTCAGGATGGTCTCGATCTCTTGACCTCATGATCTGCCCGTCTTGGCCTCCCAAAGTGCTGGGATTACAGGCGTGACCACTGCACCCACCCTAGTAGTAGATAAGCTTTAATGTAACTCTTAGGTAAGGTGAATCCTTCTTTGGATCTTGACTCCTCTGACCATCTTGGGTCCAGCCTGCCTCCCAGGACCCTGCTGCTTGCCTGCTTGATGAAAAGGACTTACTTGTTCAAGTTTAGTGGGAGGCCTGGCTTCTATAGAAGGCAGGAGGTGTAGAGGGCGCATTAAGGGAAGATCAGTAATGGCCAGAGGAGAGATATGACTGCTGGGGGATGCAAAAGAGGTCTGTGACCCAGAGTGCAGAGGTGGCAGCAGTAGGAAGACTTGCCTGTTTCTGGTTTTGTGCTGAGAAGGGACTGAACAGGGAATCTGCTTTTTAGGGATTGGGAGTGTCAGTCATCACGTGGTGTCTGGACCTTCCAGTCAGGTCCTGAACGGGATTGTGGCTGAGCTGTTCATCCCATTCCTTCAGCAGGAAGGTAATTCTCTGCAGCATGGTAAGCATGCCTTCTGTACCCATCCTTGACTGTGGTTTTTCACGATTTCCTTCTGTAAACCTCTCCTGAAGACACACCTCCCTCAGATAGCATGGCTTGAGCTGTCTGAAATATTATTGCTTTCTCCCCCTTGTACTCTGGCTTGTTTTTTGCACTTCTTGCAATGATTTGACATGGCTATAGGACATTGGACTGATTGGACCATGCTTTTTGCCCTAGTTCATGAAGGGACCTTGGTGCACGCTGTCTCAGTCCTGGCTCTCTGGTGTAACCGATTCACTACGGAAGTGCCCAAGAAGCTCACTGAATGGTTCAAAAAAGCTTTCAGCCTTAAAACCTCCACATCTGCAGTGAGGCACGCCTACCTGCAGTGCATGTTGGCCTCTTATCGGGGTAAGACGCCTCCCAGGGCCAGTGTCCAGGCCTCCCTGCAAAGGTGACTGAGTCTTTAGGGCTTTATTAGTGTTCCCGGCTTTCTCTGTTAGTTCAGCTTATTTAGCACCATTTATTTCTTCCTGAAATAAATGGGAACTTCAGGAAGAAATAAATGGGAACATTGGGCTTAGCTCAAAATCAGAATTCAATCTTCACAACAAATTCTGGCTTCCCTCACTTATCAGACTTTCAAAGTACAAAGCTTTATTCAGAGAGGACCCAGAACCTGAACTTGTCACTACAGTATCTGAAGTCATGGAGAAATGATTCAGATAAGACTGGTTTAAGGGCCAGACATGGTAGCCCACACCTGTAATCCCAACACTTTGGAAGTCCAAGGTGGTTGGATCACCTGAGGTCAGGAGTTCGAGACCAGCCTGCCTGGCCAACATGGTGAAACCTCATCTCTACAAAAATACAAAAATTAACCAGGCATGATGGCAGGTGCCTGTGATCCCAGCTACTCTGGTGGCTGAGGCAGAGGTTGCAGTGAGCCAAGATCAAGCCATTGCACTCCCGCCTGGGCGACAGAATGGGACTCTAACTCACAAAACAAAAAAGAAACATCTGGGAGGTTCCAGGGCCTTCTCTCAAGAGGGGACGCCCTTCTGTGTGAAATGTCTCATCTGATGAACTTTGTACTCACATATTCCTTTTAATGATAAGGGAAGAATAATCTGGCTTTAAGAGATTTTTGTACTGAGTTTAAAGCAATAAATATTTTTCTGAAATACGTCTCTCAGCTCAGAATCATAGATCATTTTTGTACGGTGGTTTGTGAGGTTTGTTTAAACCGCAGATAATGCTGATTGAAGTCATAGATTTTCCATGGGAAATGTACAGTCAATACATTGTCAGCTGCCTTAGGGATATAGTGAACTCATATCCATGACGTAAAACAGTCTAAGAGGTCAGGCGAGGTGGCTCACGCCTGTAATCCCAGCACTTTGGGAGGCTGAGGTGGGAGGATTGCTTGAGCTCAGGAGTTTGAGACCAGCCTAGGCAACAAAGTAAGACCCCCATCTCTACAAAAAGTTAAGTTAGTAGGGCATGGTGGTACTTGTCTGTGGTCCCAGCTACACAGGAGGCTGAGGCAGGGGGATTGCTTGAGCCCAGGAGTTCAAGATTAACCAGGGCAACATAGCAAGGCTCCATTTCTACAAAAAATTAAATAAAAATAAAAAGTCTCTATACTCATATATCAGTTTCCATTATTGCTGCATTGAATGACCATCAGTTGTAGGTGGGACCTTGAATTGTAGATGGCAAAAACTTGGTTTTACCTAGTCTCTTCAGCTTAAGCTAGTTCTGCTTATTGCTTTTACTTTTAATTTATTTTTTAAAAAAGTAATTCAGAGTGCTGGAACACAGTGCTCATTGCTTTTAAAATAAACATAAAATCTTTTAAAAACAAAACCTTTAGAATAAAGATTTCTTGGATTCAAATTCATAACATTATCTAGAAAACCGCTTCCATTGTGAATTGTTCTGATATACCCATTTAGCAGCTATGAAACAACAAACCCAGGTGTGGGAGGAAAACAAAAGAAAACATAGGCTTAAGCTATAGTTTTAACTCCTGTGTTTAAGCAATTCTCCAGCCTCAGCCACCCAGGTAGGTGGGATTACAGGCGCCCACCACCATACCCGGCTAATTTTTGTATTTTTTAATAGAGACAAGGTTTCACCATGTTGGCCAGGGTGGTCTTGAACTCCTGTCCTCAGGTGATCCACCCGCCTCAGCCTCCCAAAGTGCTGAGCTTACAGGCATGAGCCACGGCACCCGGCAGGGGTATAGTTTTAGCTGGTTTCTCCTTGTTTTTTTTTCTTTTTTAAAATGAGTTTCGTTCAGAGGCCAGCATATTGGTTCTGGTTTTAGAATTTGGGTCCAAAGGTCATCTAATATGGGGGAAGAGTACCATATGGGAATGGATTGGATTGAGGGTGGCTCTGACTTGCCTCAACTAGCTGTGTAACCTTGAGCAACTCACTTAATGTCTCTGCTTATCCATCAGTTGACTATTGGATTAGTAAGGATTATCTTTTGCCTCTAATTTTGTGGTTGTAGAGTTTAAGTTTTGATTTAACTTCACTTTTTTTTGAGATATTTAACTCAAAATAAAAAAATTAACTGAAGGGCTTTAGTCATCCATTTCACAGCTGGGTAGATAAATCCTTTCTCAGTCCTGTCATTTCCAAAGATCAGGATGTCCTTTAAGGTGCTGTCCTCTCTCCACAGGTGACACATTGTTGCAGGCCCTGGACCTTCTGCCCTTGCTCATCCAGACAGTGGAGAAGGCAGCATCCCAAAGCACTCAGGTTCCCACAGTCGCTGAAGGGGTTGCCGCAGCCTTGTTGCTCTTGAAGCTGTCAGTGGCTGACTCACAGGCTGGTATGGGTCCAGAGATGTCCAGGATGGTAGAGACAGGGACCTTTGACAAGAGTCCTTGGGAGGAGTGTTTCGATGTTCAGGGTTAGCTTGGTCCTGACCACACTGGATCAGCTACAGGTTTGCTTGTCATCTGCATGATGAACCTCAGGGTTGCATGGGCAGTGAGAATGCAGCCAGGGGACTGTGTTACTGTCCTCCTTTGTCCTGTTGCTCCATTGCTACACAGGCTTGTAGATGATGACCAGATGAACCAGGGTTTAGTATTGGGACTGTTGGTTTCAGTTGGTTATACAGTACAAAATTCAAAAGGATATAACATGAGAAGCTTCCCCTTAGCGCTGTCTTTCCGCTTGGCTGTTAAATTTCCCTCCGTAAACAGTATTACCAATTTTGCACTTTGGGAGGCCGAGGCAGGCGGATCATGAGGCCAGGATATCGAAACCATTCTTGCCAACGTGGTGAAACCCCATCTCTACTAAAAATACAAAAATTAGCTGGGTGTGGTGGTGCGTGCCTGTAATCCCAGCTGCTTGGGAGGCTGAGGCAGGAGAATCACTTGAACCCACGAGGTGGAGATTGCAGTGAGCCGAAATCGTGCCACTGTACTTCAGCCTGGTGACAGCAAGACTCCGTCTTTAAAAAAAAAAAAAAAAAAAAAAAACCTGTATTACCAATTTAATGTCTAGAGATAGTGTGTATATAATTGAACATGCTGGGTAACATTCTGCCTATACTGTATTATATACAATATATATACTACATATACATTGTATTATATACTATATATACTTTGTATAATATATCTTCGAAATGATTCCAAATCAGTACAGGTACATCAAAAAGAGCTTCCTTTATATTTTGTGGCTACATCACATTTCATGCTTTCTTTTTTCCATCTCCCAATCTCTGCTCTGGGACACACCTGAACTTACTCCTTTGGTTAGGAATAGAGCTCAGGGTTACCTAGGGGAATGCTAAGATGAATATGACCTTCTTCAGTGAATATCAGGGTGCTTACTTCATAGTAGGAACAAGGAAATACAAAAACACATCTGTAGCTTAAAATGTAGCATTAGAGCAGTTTTGAAGGAGACATTGCTTTTAGTTGGGGGGATGGGTGTTGGGAAGGGCTTTATGGAGGAAGCGTTTGAACTAGTGCCCTGAAGACTGGGAAGGATTTCATTATCCTGAAGGGAATGGCCCAGAGTGAGTCCAAGCAGCCCCAGTCAGGGAAGGGCAGTGAAAGCCGGAGTCTGTAAACTTCAGGTGTTCCAGCTTGGTACTTGGGGTGGATGGGAATTCTGGAAGAGAAGCAGTTCACCTAGGCTCTTGTAAGCAGCAGAGAACCACTGAAGAGTTTCATACAGGAAGTGATACCAGAAGGACTGAGGTAAGTTCACCAAATAGAAGAGCACCCAGCCTCCTGCTACAGAGGAGGGTTTGCCAGCAAAGCCCACCCCAGCAGCTTCAGGATTGAGGGCATCAGCTCTGGGGGACACGGTGAGCTGCGTCATAGGATAACCTTTTGGTTCTTGCAGAGGCCAAACTGAGCAGTTTCTGGCAGCTGATTGTGGATGAGAAGAAGCAGGTGTTCACCTCTGAGAAATTCCTGCTTATGGCTTCAGAGGATGGTAAGTTACTCCACGCTTAATTGAACTCGAGATTGAGACAAAGTGTCTTTGGGAAATCTTCAGAGAGGACCCTTTCTTGACCAGCCAGTCAGCTCTGCAAAAACCTGGGCCAGAGTGATCTGGCCAACAGCTTAGTCATTGTGGGAATGAATTCATTCCTGTAGGGAATGTTAAGAAAGGTTAGGGAAATGGGACTTGGGAGATGTGTGGAGACAGAACTGTAATGGTTGTGGAGCTACAGTGTAAGCTGTAATTATAGCTGATTGGGTAATTGGTGCTGTCTCAGAGGTTTTCTTGTGTTGAGGCAGCTGAGGAGCTCTGGTGGAGTCTGGCAGGCTCAACTCCCCCACCAAGAGACACAAAAACTACTGGTTTCTATCCTGGCAGAAAAGGAACAGTGGAATTTTAAATGTGTGTTTAAAATTCTATGTTGCCTTAGGGGTGTCTGCCACTAATTGGTGATTTGAAGAGTCTTTTGACTCACAAATTGCAACATCCCATTAATGAGTTACAACTTTTAGTCATTTCCTGGTTTTAGAAAAATTTTTAAATTTTGAAAAGGAAATAGACTCATGTAATTCAAAAATAGATACAGGAGGGTCTACATTGAAAATTATATCCCTACTTTGATCTCTGGCTACCCAGTTCGTCTGCTGTAAATAACTAATTTTATTAGCTGCTTCTGTAGCCTTGATATTTTATATATACGCAAGTAAATACCTGTACGTGTTTGTCCTCTACCTTTTTTACAAAATGTTACTGTGCCTACTGTATATACTGTGCTTTCTAGACCTGGAAATGAGTCCATGTCAGTGTATAATGAGCTTCATTTTTATTTTGGTGCTGTGACACTCGGATCATTCTTTTTTTTTTTTTTTTTTT